GATGAGAAGGAGAACAATTTCAAGCAGGAAGGCAGCCCTGCTAAGTCATTTGGCCGTTCGATGTCAATTGGCCGTTCGATGTCAGTCAGCCTCGAGGCCCTATCTCCCTTCGCCCTGGATTTAGCTGCATGCAGTGTTTTGGGTGAAACGAACAATTCTCGTGCGACCACTTTCTCGCATCGAACTGACGAAGTTACTGATAATAACGATAAGAAAACTGACACACAGTTCAAAGATGATGACGATGGCCATTCAACGGATAGTGACGATTATGAGGTAAAAATTTGTTTTGCCTTGTTTTACTACAGATCGTTTGTTATTGAACAGGCAGCATCAAGTATATATCTAAAGTACTAGGTTTGGTTCACATGAGACAAAACGAAGAATAGCGATTCTAGCGAGTGCAGTAGTTATACATCCTAAACAGCGATACCACAGTTTGTTTGGCTTTTTCGTATTTGATATTTTACATTGTAGTGCTCACGTAATTCATGAATTGGTCCACCTGGCAGGCTGTAGTTTTTTTGAAATCAAATTTCCTGAGGTCAATATATAGTTTTTTAAGAACCAGCAAAATGATGAGGAAGAACCAGTGAATTCCAGTGATGACGAACTGGAGATATATCATCGATTGAAAAGCGGAAAAAAATCGAAGAGAACGTCTGTTTTTTTTTTTTTTTTTTAAACGTTTTTAATTAAAATTTACTTGGTGTACCAGGAGCGTTGCTTGTGCGTGCTGAAAATCTCCTTACATGCGGAAGGTAGTTTTTCCTTTGACTGCGTTCTTATGCTTTCCACATCCACAATGCTCCAATCACTGGAAAACCCAGCGCATTGGCAACTTGCTTTTTTAATGCATCGTGAATACTTTTTTTTCGTTTCATCCTCTGTTATTCTGTCGTCCTCGTCTTCGCCACTTTTTTCCCCCACATCCATTTCCTTTCGTTGATATTCTGTGGTGAATTCTACTGAGGCTTTACATTGATCGCTTTGTGGTAGTGCTGCTGTCCTATTTTCTTTTACGTATGGTACCTTACGTTTCGCTCCTATGAAGTAACGCGGGAGGAACTAAGAAACTAGAAAGTTTTGCATTTATTCGAAATGATATTTGCTTTTCTGAAGTTATACCAAGTTTGTTGAATACGGTTTAGCGTGCTTTTCTCAAGTTTCCGATGGTTATCGATTCTTCTGACAACGATTGCATCTAAACTTGACGGCAGCATCACACACTCTACCAGTTCTCGTTGCATTTGATTGTACAGCTTAATCCACATCATCAACAGCTCCTTCTGCCTTGCCTGGGTGTAACTTCTGAGTTTCCATTTCATTTCACAGCTTTGTTGGACCTCGTGCACAGCAGGGACTTCTCTAGTGACGTTTACAGCTCATGAAGCAAAAGATCCACTCCATCTTCGCTGTCCGCTTTTACACATTAAAGAAGATTTCCCTCGAGAAATAGATGTTGCCATATCTTGATACTGTGAGATTCTTATCGCCCCGTAATCGTCATTGGTCTTCCTTGTCAGCAATCAGCAGTCACTTCGAAAACAAATCCAGCTTGCGCAGGATTGAGAGCCACATCTTCAGTTCTATAGCTGCTTTGGCCAATGCTGCATGGCATGATCATCAACCCACTCCTAGTTCTAGCGTTCAGGCTGATGATCAGGCCATGCAGTGTTGGCCAAAGCAACTACAGAATTGAAGATTACGGCCCGTACTGCCCTTCCTATTTCATTTCGCCTTCTAAAAAGATTATCATCTGCGCATCTGACTAAACCTTAGCCACTTGATGGCGTTCTCGGTGCGTTGAGGATTACCATCTCTCCTTAAAAGGTGCCATTGCTGGGCGGTGGCAAGAAGCCACGCAGCTGTACGCAATTAAAAATATGTTTAAATGCGGACACGGTGGTTGCAGCTCCGAGTACATTGAAGCAGAGGCTGCATTGTCCGGGGACGATGTCGGGAGTGATGAAGGCGACGACGATGACGATGATCAGCTGGATGCGTACGAAGCTGAAGAAGGAGATAAGGATGATCTGCCCGACGAGGAAACAATCAGGGAGCAGCTCCAGAAGCAATTCCAGAAACAGCAGATGGCAAGATTTTGAATCTGTCGCTTTTTTTTTTTCTATGAGACTACGTTGCTCATACTTAGCTTTTATTGATATTGCTGTGTTGGCAGATGAAATTCTGGATTTGTTCGTTCGAATCCACCAGTGGGAAAGCATTTCCTTTACAAATGTTCAGCTGATATATGTATTCTGTTAGCGTTTCGGTTGATAAGGGACTGAAGGGAAAGGAAGCCACTGCTTCTTAGAGGATAGTTGTTTTTCGGTAAACCGTTATTCACGTTACTTGTGAAAGGTCTCCATCTTTCATCGTAGTACAGAGGGGAGCTCTGAATTTGGCCGGGCATCTCTCTCCTGCTCTCTAAGCGTATTGTGAGGCATAAGTCAGCGCTTCATTTTCGAAAAATTCAATCCGTTTATTCATTACAGGATGAGGAAAACAAAAAGCTGTTGTACTGGAAAAACAAGCTATTGATGGATGGTGACCTGAACGGCGAAACCGATCGTACTTTTCGCTTCAAACTGCGGGAAATCAGTGTGGAGAACAGCAGTGAAAATGTCCATAATACTGCTGAGGTTGATGAGGCTGATGAAATCGACGACGAGCAAACGCTGAAAAGGCGTAAAGAAATAC